ACACACACACACACACACACACACACACACACACACACACACACACACACACACACACACACAGGGAGCTGGTAGCTGTTGGCCAAATTACATCATGTTACTGATGTTTTTTGTTGTGTTGCTTCCTGTTGCAGGTCTCGTCTCGCTGATTTCCACATGAACTGCCAGGTGACACCACACACCGTCACCACCTGCCCTCACGATAACTACCACGGCTGCCTCATGTCCTATGTCGGCCTCATTGGTAAGTCTAGCCTAAACTCGGCTAACCTTCTGATGTGTACATCATCAGTGGTGATGGCCCCAACCCTAACCCAAATACTGGAAACAGAATTAAAGTGTTTGATGGAGTTGGTTAGACTGTCGTTACAATACTGCTTGCCTTTTATCACAGTTTGGGTCACACATGCTGAAAACTGACATCTGAATGACTTCATTAGTACGGTGGCCCTGAGAGGCCAAACGGACTGCAACTTAAGAAAACACCAGCAATAAGAAAAACGCTGCAAAAGCACACAAAACACAACGGAAATAGGAAAAAACAAAACAGAAATAGGAAAAAACAGATTTCCAAAAGCACAAGGGAAGTGCTTCTGGGGAGACAATAACCCGACGGACCAGTTGCAGAAACCCAAAACATGGTAGGTGTGTTTTATCATGATTCATATAATACTGATGACGGATTCTTAGGCTAATAGTTAGGCTAACACACTTACCTCTCATCTTTTCTTTCCTCACAAAACCATTAGATCCTCCACTTCTTTTAAGTGTCTCCCAGCGCAATTCTTAGCACATTTTGATTCCTGCAACTGGTCCGTCGGGTTATTGTCTCCACAGAAACACTTGCCTTGTGCTTTTGGAAATCAGTTTTTTCCTGTTTCTGTTTTAGTTTTTTCCTATTTCTATTGTGTTTTGTGTGCTTTTGGAGCGTTTTACTAATTGCTGGTGTTTTCTTAAGTTGCAGTCTGTTTGGCCTCTCAGGGCCACCGTAGATTAGTAATTAATTCTGCTTTCTCAAAATATCTTCCTGTTTACAGTAGAACCTGACCTAACCTGTGACAGGTGTTTGGTACAGAGATCCTCCAGCACAGAGTTAGTTGTTTAGATGTAATGAGTTCAGGTAACTGTGCCTTCCTCTAACTTTACCACATGACCTGTTTAGTGAAGCCAGCCTGTTCGTTTCTGGCTGTGATCAGCAGCCACTTGACCGTTATTTAAATCTTTCAGTTGAGAATTAAGAGCAGAGAAACATTCTACTGGTGACTCATTTCTTCTCTGGAAATCTTTCAATGATTCAATTCCCAATTTGCAAAAATCCTCTTTACCTTTCTTCCCAGCTAATCTCCACCCTAATTCTTATTCCTCTCCTCCTCCCCCCTCCCTGCCTCAGGCTCGGATGTAACGCCAAACTACAGCGACAGCAGCCCATCCAACATCACTATGAGCCTGTGGTGCACCTGCAGGGGCACCGGCCACCAGGAGCACGAGTGTGAAGCTTTCCACCGCGATTTCACACACAACACCTGCCTCAGTGAGTGCTGCATGCCTGATCAGGAGGGTCAGAGCTGTAAAGTGCTGATCCTCTCCAGTTAGTCTGGAGAATATTTACCTAAATAATCCAGAAAACAAAATTATTAATCAAACAGGTTATAAGCCAATCAGCCGTCACACTGCTGTAACAACATGTGAACATACCTGCAGGTAGTTTTATGCTGTGTTTTCTGTTTGTTGTCTGATGGATTCAGTCATTTATGGATCTGAGTTTATGAAGCTGCTGCTAACAGAAATGTATCTTCCCCCTTTACACTGAAAGGGTGGAAATTCATGGAAATTCAAAATTTCAGCTCTATCATATTACAGAACTCAGAACAGAATTTTTCATTTCTATGTTGCTTATCAATGATGTTGCCTGTTTAGGTTATGCATTTTCCAAAAACTGTTAATTGATTATTCCATAAAAGGAGAGTGATTTGGGCGCTATAATTCAGTTTACACATATGAAGCATAGAAAAGCAGAAAATATTCACACTGAATAATTTCTTATTTTTAAATGTCTTAATTATTGATTGTAGAAATTATTACAGAGAAAATGAGATAATATTCACATTTAAAAGTAGGCGTTCATTTTGGGAAACCATTAAATGGTTCATAAATAATGAGACTTTCAGACTTTAATGTAGAAATGTTATCAAACTCTAACCCAAGCTGTGCAGAGGTGTGGAACTGCAGTATGAGGTTAAATCAATGAATAAAATCATGATACATGTTACTGTTAAATGTGTCGTCTCAGCACACGAAATGCTGAAAACGTTGGCATGGTTAAAGAAACAGAGGTGTGAGTGAGGCGGATAATTGAGGGGAAAGGTTAGTGGAGGAGGAAAAACAGAGAAGTACGAGCCGATGTATTGAAGATCCCCAGATACCTTCTTTAAATAACACTGACCCAGCTCCAACATCACCTCTGCGCCTCCTCCATCACACATCCGCTCCTCCTCCTCCTGCTGTGGATGCAAACATACATATCCATGTGCTGCAGGCAGCGAAGAACACAACCATGCCGTTACATTGAACTTCATGCATTCATGTATATGTGAAAGTCAGTCAGTTAATGAAGGATGAAGCCTGTTTATGATGTACATGTCTCCAAATGTTCAAACCCAAAAGTACTCAGATTACTGGACTGTGCTCTGATCAGGCTCAAAACTGTGAGCTCTGTCAGGTGACGGGAATAACACTGATTATCTCTTCATCACGGCTCCTGTTAGTGTGCGGGAGTTATCACGGATCAGGTGAACTTCGGACCCACAGTCCAATCCATGGAGGTCCAACTCCCAGGTTACGGCCTGAAAGCACCTGCATGTTGGTGCAGATACCTGAGCACAGCGTCAGGGCTCGAGTACCCTCTCCATGATCTCCCGGTCTGTCAGAAGACGCGGCGGCACGTTAACGTTTAACAGGGGCGGAGAATGCTCTCTGCAGTCGAGGTGTAGTCAGACCTGGACAAACACGTTTTGTGTTCAGATGCAAGAATAACCTTCAGTTATCTGAACGTGATTTGCTGCACTGAGGTAGCAGCAACCTCTGCCTTGTGTTGAGTGGGGTGCATTGCACCGCTGTGTTCATTAATCATTCTCCAAACAGACCACCATGGATCCTACCAACAGACTCCACAGACCAGTGTGTTGGGCTTAAAAAGTTGTTGGTGTATCTCTGTGCTGGTCTCAGTATGAATTCCCATAAACACACACAGTTCAGCCAGACTGTGGTGTAAATACTAACTTGTATATTCTTTATTCTGTATTCAGCCCTCGTGAAAATGGTCGATAGTCATTCGTCTTCAGTTTGTTAGGTTATATTTTCATCTCCAAGGCCAGTGGATCCCCAGAATGTAAAAAAGACCAGAAAAAACACTCAAAGCCATAAAAGAAGGTTAAAATTTGATTTTCAGTGTGCATTATTCATATGTATAAACCAGGATTCTTGCAATCCATAAAAGGTCTTTAATTAATTAAACCAAAAATGACATAACTGGGGTTAAATCAATCTTTTAAAAGTCTTTGCAGTGAAAGAAAACACCTGTGTCTCCAACCCTGTGTCTGTTTGTTTCTTTAGTTTTATAGTTGTCATGCTGGCCTTGAATTTCATCATGAGTTGCATTTTTAACTCTTAAAAGTCTTAAATCTAATCTGAATCTGGTCTGAAGCCATAGCGTCACTTATTACTGTGAAGGTTTTTCAGGTTCAGTACTCAAAAATCCCATTATTCAGTGCAGTAAACATCAAAGTATTTGGACTCCTTCAAATGAAGAAACAGCAGATAATAACCAAGTGATCCCAAATTATCCTCAGGGGATCCTGGGTGGACACAGAGTTGACTTAGAACATTCACAGACATACTCGCTAATAATTACCAGTTTGATTGAGCTTGGAGGGTTTGGCTTGTTTTGTTGGGAATTTAGGACCCAACAGTGAACCATGTGTGCTGATCTAAATTTAGGATACAGACCAGCGTCAGATTCTTGTTACCTACCTGGAGGAAGGCCAGGTGGCAGCTGCCTCTTGATGAGAAAACAGTAATTGGTTGTCAGGTCAGTGTGGTTCTCAGCAGGTGTAGAAAGTTCTCGCTCTTTCTCTGACCGCCCGTCTCTATCTCCACACAGAAAATGCCATCCAGTCATTTGGTTACAGCTCGGAGGGAGGGACTCTTTTCGTAACCGAGCCGTCATCCACTTTCCTGCCCCCTGCCGGGCCTCCAGTCATCGCCAAACCTGCTCCCTCTCTGCACGGAAATGCAATCAAACCCCTGGACAGTGCTTGTATGTTTTCCACTTGTGCGAACCTGCAGGTGAGTTTGGATTAGGCCTTAGTAATCGAGTATTCGAGTGATTATTTCATTGATTAATCAAGCAATTGGATAAGAAGTACTTTTGTCTTATTGTTGAGCAATAATAAAAACAGGAGGCAGAAAGAGTTGTGACGGCATTTTATCTCCTGGATGAGGTGGATTTGCTGTGTGTTTATGTTTATGAGTTTTTGTGTGCGTGTGTCTGCATGTTTTACTATGCATGAGAGTGAGTGAGATTGTATCTGTAAGCCTTTAAAGAAAAGGCTTACAGATACAATGTGGTGGCTGCGATGAAGAGAAATGTATCAGCATTGTGAAGTGTGTGCTGTGCCTTTCTGTGCTGCTGAAAACAAAATGTTATTATGGTGTAGACCTTAATTAATATTAATAATAATTCACTGTCCAACCTAACAATCCTCAGTTTTATTGGCCCATGTACATTTTTAATGGTCTTGCATTTATATATTTTTACATTTTTTAAAATATTTATATTTTGGAATATTAATACAATACTAGTACACCCAATGTCCCTCTTTAGACTCACCCCTGCTTGCTGCAGGTATCAATTCCATGTAAAATAGGACGGCTGCCGTCAGCTTTCAGCGAGCTGTATAATTTAAACATGTATCAGACTAAGTTAACATTTCATCTGCAGATTTTAATAAACTTCTAGAGACTCACTGCAGATTTCTCTGTGTGAAACAAACCTCCTCCACGTTAAACTGTGCCTGCATCATCATCTCTGCTGCTCTTCTGTTACCAGTGTCTTTGTTGAAGACTGGGGCCTGTGTGTTCTTAATGTGGTTTATTCACTCACTACTCCTGAATAAATCTCTGGCCTGTTTATGTGTCGCTCGTATTTACATGGTAATGATGGAACAAAGCATTGAAGAAAAAAATTTGCTGTGACGATTTTTTTATCATCGAGTTATTTAAATTACTCGATGAATATATGAGAGGCTTGGTCTGGATATAGTTTTTTTGTGGTTTCTACCTGAGCTACAGTACATGGCTGCTGCCTTATTTATTATATTCTTTACAACAGGTAAGCTCAGTGAGAACGAGATCTTTTTTCAAGAGAAATGTCAGTACAAAAAAAATTCAAAAATTTAGACAGTCGGCTACACAATAGAACAAGCCATTACACATTATCACAGATGAAGAAAAACCTACTCAAGTAGTTGCATATAAACAAATGCAACCCTTTAAAATGTTCCTGTGAAATCAGACAACACCATTCTTGGGTTTGTTTTTAGCTTATTCCATTTATAGGCAGTGAAGTATTTAAATGCAGTTTTCAAGAGGCACAGCTAATGATAAAATGTCCTGCAAACTGACATTGTAAGTACTGTGTTTAAATTCAGCAAAGGCGCAGAGGTAAGCAGCAGAGCCTGGAAAGACACATGATTCAGTGCACAGAATACACAAAATCAAGAGGCGTCGAGGTGGATATAGAAGCATGCATATGAACAATATCATCGTTAGTGTTCTGCTTATAATGTGATGGTTGACACATTTGCATGGCAAGCAAAAGGTCACTGGTTCTCTACAGACACAGGGCAGGAAGGAATGGAAAATCTACCAAATCAATCACATTACCATCCAAGGCACAAACCTTTTGGCATGGCTGTAGTGCAGGTCATCTGCCAACTGGAAGGTTGGTGGTTCAAGCCCTGGTGCTCCAGTCTGCGTGGAGAGTACTAAACCCAAGTTGCTGTTTGATGCATCCATCGGAGTGTGAATGTCAGATAGAAAGCACTTTCATAGAAAAAGTGCTTGTGCTTGTGTGAACAGGTGAATGAGTCAAGTTGTATAAAGTGCCTTGAGTGCTCAGGTACAGTAGAAAAGCGCTTTGTAAGAAGCAGTCCATTTACCAAGACTGGCAATGTGCTTGTGAATGAGAAACAAGATTTGTTTCTATGTGAAACTCTAATCTTCATCTTTAATTTTCCTCAATAGTGGTTTTTAAAAGTGAGTCTAACTTCCAGCCAGAGTCCTAAATATTTATAACAGAGAACAATTTTAATGACCATGATGAGTTTTAGTATGGACTGTATGCTGGATATTTTTAGTTGACCTTAAATGCACTCATGCATTTTGTTTTATCAGAGTTTAAAATAAGATTATGTGTGATCAGAGAATTTTGAAATGTACCAAAAGCAGACTGTACATTTGCAGTGGCCTGATCCGAGGAACGGCCAGTGGCATATAAAACAGTGTAATCTGCATAAAAATGTATGTGCAGTTTTAGGTGGCAGAGATTATGCCACCATGTTTGCCAGATGTTTGAAAATTTAAGTCCAAAGGACCTAACCTTTTTTTTTCAGCTGGATTATTAATTACAGAAGGATGCAGGAGTATAGAGGCTGAGGTGGTCAAATGTATTATAGAAGCTGTGCTATTAATGGTTGTGTTTCTGCTGAGAGGACATGGTGAACTTGGTTTGAGTTTTCAATAATTGAAAGCTTAGTGCAGTTTACCCTCAGCTAACCAAACACTTCCAGAGCTGACTGAGACACCACAGACAAACCGTTCTCATTACTGTATTTTTCAGTCCACTCCAAGAATGCATGCATAGTTCCTACTTCAAACTTACTTTCTGATACTGAAATTTACACCCATCCATCCAACCCCAGTGGACCTTCACCTCAGTAGTGTGATTCTTACAGACCTGTTGGCTGTACCATGCTGGTAGTCTAAATCCATGCCAGGTAGCTAACTACTGTTCATTTTAAATCTATATCAAATATAAGGAGCATATAACTATCTAGTTTCTCTTTAAAAACAAATATTAGGTTGTATTCAGTCCAGTATAATCCACAGGAGCATGCCTCTCATACTTCCCATGCCGGGGCTCAGTAAAAATGTGTTTAAGCTTAGGACATGATAGCTCTGTCTGTGTGTTTTCAGCTCAGTCTCAGAACTCTAGCAGGTAGGCAAACAGTGCAGCTTACATTCCTGTGTGGAGAGGAGATCTGGAGCTCAGTCACAGGTGTTTTGCTGGCACACCGCGGATTATAAATCTGTAAATCAGGTGGTGGTTAAGCGAGGAAAGCTGATAAAGAAGCAAATGAAGATTCCTGGCTAAGTATTCATATCAGCACGAGTTTGGATGAATTAACTGACCTCATCCATCCACAGTAGCATATTTTTATCTTTGAGATAACTTTCAGTTTTTGGAAAATTAAACCAGCTATTAGTAGGAAGCAAGAATCGTGGAAGGTCTTGTGTTATTTTCTTTCTTTAAGTTAGTCTGTTCATTATTAGCAATAAAAAAAACACATAAAAATATATGTTTGCCCTCATTTTGTTTCTCCTTTTGAAGATGTTTCATAGCCACGATTAAACCACGAAGGCAGGAGAACGCGTACCTTTGGAGCACTGTGACTAAAGTCAAACTGTGTGGATCGCCTCAAAAAATAAAATATGAATATTTGGTTCTAAAGGGATAAATCTGAAAAAGCTATTTTTTTATAGCAGTATAATAAAAACGGGTGGTTATAGAAAGAGACATGCAGACAGCAGGTATGACTGAGGAGGTCTGAGCACTGCAGCTTTATGTGCGTCGCTCTTCTTCACCTTCACACACATTAGCGTCATCCTGCCTGCATTGTGGGAAAGTGGAATTCCATCCATTATGTACAGAGAAGAGGTGCAAGGCTGGAGGTTATATAGGCCAAACTAAATTGCTATGCGTTATGAAAGAGATTTAAAGCATGAATTATAGAAAACTTCATCATATAATGGGATGGATGTGACATTTTACTGAACTTTTACATTTTTAACCCACTTGCATACACATATAACTTTTAATGATGAAAGAAATGAAAACTCTACAAAAAATACCCAACATTAGTTTTGCTGATCATGAGTGTGCACGTTAACCAAGTCAGTGTGTACTGAGTTTGTAGCTTCATTTAATGTGGGCTCAAATACAGAAAAGAGAGAATTCTGCAACAAACCAATGAGTTTAATGAGTTTCTGAGATGTGTAACAATTTACACACCTCAATGAATCAGTGAATCTTCTTATTTAAACCTGGACAGCTAAACAACATCAGCATGCTCAAAGACTGCACCACCCTCAGGACTGAACTAAATGACCAGTCCATAAATGTCACTTCCTGCTGTTGGTTCTCAATTATGACATGGTATCATATACTTTACCATTCCAAAAATACTCTAAAAAACATGCAATGCATATTTAAAACCATATACACACGTGCACACAGAAACGTGTAATGTGTAAAACTATCTGTGTTAGACTGGAGAGGCAAAGCAGGAGACACAAGTGGACCAGTGAACCCAGCACACACTGACTGGTACCGCAGAATGTCCTCAACACATTTCCAGGGCCATGATTTCAACTAGCTGCAGAAGCTGATACCTCTCTTTAGTTTGAAACAGACATGAGGGCTACTTTATTGGTTTATTTATAATTATAATGTAAATGTTGGATTTTTTATAGAGTTTATGTTGAGTCTTGAAGTCCAGCCATCCTCTGTTGGAGGGTTTTGGCTTCAGCTGTTTCTATGTGATGGTTTCCTCACATGCAGCCAAATGTCTAACAGATTTTTTTCTTTCGGTCTGTCTGAGCTCTGTGTTGGCAGTCTTGTGCCAATGTGGAAAATTAAAGGTTGAGCCAAAGCTGCAATGTTCTTATTTTTTAAGCACATTGCCAGCATTCATGCCATCCCGGAACACCTCTAATACATTTCAGTTTTGGAGTCACAAAATACTGAGTTAGTATCACTGAAACTGGAGCTGAAGCTGATGTGTCTGTAATAAACTCCAGTCTGCAGTTCTGCAGACTGGGGTCTTCTTCCTATTTGTCTGCTGTGGAGCAGTTTGTGGATTTTGGCATTCTGTTTTAGATCATAAGCCTTGAATATGTGAAGAATTTCATTTATTTTGGTGCACTCGTACACCTAAACATATGGGGGTTTTTTATTCTCTTTGTCTTTGTAGTAGAGAAAGAGTTTTACAGTTAATATTTTGTGCGGAGGAGACACTAATCCCTCTGGGGTTGAAGGAAGAGCATCCAATATGAAATTCTGCCAAATCAAACATACGGAGGTCCCCGCTGGGAAGGAGGGAGCAGCTAAAAGTAGCAATAGCTCTATTTTGTGCAGATATCTCAGGCATTTCTGGAAATTGTGCTTAAACACCAGCAGCTTTCCAGTGGTCAGAATTCTCATGATGGGACAAAAACAGGAAATCAGCTGATATTTTAGTAAAAAAAAGAACACCTAAGGTGGAGGTTCAGGTTGACGGGTGGCTCCACGAACCTTTAATTAGCAGTGTTGTTCCATCTTCCAATGACAAAGCCATGCATCCCTGACTGTAATAATCAATGTCTGGTAACCCTAACCAAAGGCCGGTGTACAGCATAGTGATCAGGCCTGTAAAGGTGACACTTCTTCAGCCTGTTTCCACTGCACTGGACTCAAAGGCTCTGATAACTGGTAACAGCTTCAGTCACACTGTAAATTCCACACATAATCCCAACAACAGAAGCAGAAGCAAGTTAAGCCATGCTAAGTTTTGAAGTTCTGGTTACGGCTGGGTGAGCTTGGAGCTTTGTCATTGGAAGGTGAGTTCACCTTCGAGTGACATGTGGCCTCCAGCTTCTACCAAACTTCACCGAGACTACAATGTACCAGCTACCATGTCAGAATAGCATGGCTTCATGCCAACCAATGTGCCCATCCACAGTGTCTACAAGCAAGTATATACCTCTACTACTACCTCTATTACAGATCTTTGAAACTGAAGGATGATTTGTCCTGTTAGTGACAGTAACTGTGGTTTCCAGGTGGTTGCTGATTGTTGTCAAATAACTGGTGGTGATTGGTTTGAGAGGAGAAAGCCTGCCTTGCAGTTTTATAGAGTTTCTTAGAAGTTCTGACCCTGGAGTACCCTCTTTTTTTCCCTGTGCACTGCGTGCTTTAGTGACGTTTAACCAGAGGCCCTTTTAGCAGATTTGAGATTACATATCATTATCATGTACTCAGTTGACCTACTCATTTGTGAGGTTCCAGTTTGAAGGCTCGAGATGAAAGTTTCCACTGTTGACATGTTGGTGTTTTCAAACGACATGTGACGAGAACGGGGTGGGGGAGACTATGAAAGTGAACTCTCATTGGCTAATGATTTAGGACTGACAGTTAACCAGTGCGTGTATCCCAGATAAACCGTTCTGAAACATCAAACGACCAAAATTTACAAAAGTGACTTTTTGTTTTATTCAGTATCACCTAAAATAAGTTATTGAGCATAAAATCAGAGAAGTGTTTGCAGAGGGTGTAGATTTGTTTTGCAGCCACATATATCACCCCCTGTGGCTGCAGTCTTCAGACCCAGAAGCTCCGCCCACCTATGATACTGTTTATAAATTTTGGTGTTAGAAATTGAAGGCTGCATCTGCCAGTTATTGCATTTGTTGCAGTTACTTCTCACATGGCCTCTGATGACTGTGGTTCCAACTTTAGGATCAGCAGCTTTATGGTGACAGTGAGGTAAAAAAGGTCCCACTAGGGTGGTCCCTGTGACAGGAAGTGCACAAAGTTCTGGTCCTCTTTTCCTGGAATGGAAACAGTTTCTGTAATTCTCATTCTTCAGTGCAGCAAGAATGAAGACCAGGGTTTGCGATTCTGGGACCTTTACGGGTTGGATTTGTTCCGCTTAAGATAAAGAGCAGATGACTCAGTTTGTTCCTCCTCATGAGGATTGTCCCTGCTTTTTGGACCATTTCTATTCATTTTTATTTCTTTCTGTTTAATTCTTTTGCTGCACAGAGCACAGTGTTCGGATGAATTGGAGCTCATGTGTCTGTTTTCCCATCTCTCAGTCCAAAGCTGCAGCGTTGATCACTGTGATGGTCGTCTGAACTCAACCGGGCCTCAGGGTCGATGGTGCTTCCCTTTATGTCCAGCCTGCAGACATCCTTGTAGCACAGATATGAGTCTGCATCCAGTCCACATACAGCACAGCACATCGTGGCCAGCATTTCAGCTGTAATGTCTGAATGGGTGCAGAGTGCTGCAGTGGATCATCTTTATGAAGACGTGTGTGTTCTGAGCTTAGTGTTTTCATTTGAAGTTCACAGACTGCCAAGATGGAAGCGTTAAGAAGGCAAACAGATGGAAAGTAAACTCTGGCGTGTTAAATGTGGCTTTGAGAAACTGGCTGGAAGGATAAAGAGCCGAGGTGAAAGCAGATCATCGCAGGAAGGATGAGTTCTTCTAAAAGTCAGAAAACCAAACTTAAAAACGACAACACAAACAAAGATCATGATCAAAAATCTGTCTTTCTGAATTTCTGTTCAGTGTTTCCCACAACCCCTGGACCTCAGTTGGAAAACACTACATCAGGTCACAGTGATGGTCTGCTCAGACCCAAGTTTTCATCAAGTTTCATGAGGTGCAGAGTCCCACCTAAACCTAACCCACTAGCTGACAGTAAGGAGAACCACTGAGCAGAAGTGAGAGGAAACAGGGTTTTTTTTTTTTTTTTTTAAAAAGTGGAACAATGTTCAAATCACAGAGGTCCAAATGGGACGTGACCTCTGGCTTCCTGTAACCTGTAACTAAATTCTAGTTCAGCGATCTGCTGAAGGCTACTGCTGAAGAACGATGGATGGATGGTTTATTTTCCTGTCTCCATTCTTCAACCAACCCTTTTATGCCAGAGTGCCTGCAGAAGCATTCTGAGCACCTGTAAATGCACAGGAGACCAACCCTCAGTCAGATGATCCAATTTCACAGCACCTGTACTGCACGTTTAACATAGTGTGACAGTATGAATTCACCCTGCAGCCCTCCATCAGGTGCAGAGAGCTGCAGACGGCTACCTGTCAGCACTTTCAAAGCCTCTTTCTAAAGACCTGCGATGTCAGCGTGCATGTTTGGAGTGGGTCTGAATGCTCTGTGGACAGCAGTGCAGATGGAGTTACATCTGAAAAACAGGCAGATAAAGAGAGAAAGGGATCGGCAGGAATGTGATACTGCTGTGCGCTGCGTCTCTGTTGATGCTGTATATCACCTCATGCATACTGTATAATGGTGTCTTTTCCCCAAAGCTCGTGAATACAGCGATCCTTTTCAGCTCTTTTAAAGGAAGCAGACATGCAGAGGCGTCCGGCGTCGGAAGATGTCCATATGATAGCAAATCATCTGCACGCTTTAATGATCAGGTTAAATAAGCCTGTGCGCGTGCACATGGATGCCTATTTGTGGCTCTGCGCATGTATATTTCAGGGAAACGATAATGATCTGGCCACTTGCGATGATTTCCCCGACGCTGAAAAGAATTTTCTTCCTCCTCGCTGAGCGATAAGATCTGATTGACTCACCCACCCAGGCAGCGGGAGGAGATATGCTAATGAAGCACTGACAAAGAAGCTGATGGAGGCCGGAGATAAATGCTGGCATGTGTGTGTTTGAGGACAAATAAGTGTGCATCCTTGTCATCATCAGCACTCTGCATTTTAATGAAGATGGAGCTCGATTTAAAGGAGGCTGAAACGTGGAGGAGCTGCTTCCTTTAACGGTCTCACAGAAGCAGTTTTTACTTCAGGTTTTGACCATCTGCTTTAATTATTGATGATCTGTTTCTGAGGAATCTGTTGTTTCCACTCAGTTTGACAGACATCTGCAGAGAACCCGAGAGCCTTTGAAAACACTGACTGTAATTTTTACCTCTGAATTAAAGCTGAAGTGTGCATGCTGCATTTCAAACCTCTGTGGGGTCCAGGTATTTATGGACCTGACTCTGAGTACTTTTTGGAACTAAATCCTTTTGATTTAAGCAAGTGAATCATTATAAGATTGGGGAAACCTGTAGTCAGCTGAGACTGAAGAAGTCACTCGGATGAGTGACGAAACGTTTCTCCCACTGAAAGCGCTACGTCCAGATGAACAGAATCAACTTTTGGGGATTTACTTACCTGGATTATTGAGCATATGCATCAAAACCTCAATATAAGTACAAAAATCATTATGATTATTAGTCTGTGGTCTGTACTGTGATACAGGGTTTGGAATTTAGGGAGGTTTAACTCTGGGTTCACAGTGGTTACAGCATGATTAAGCCCATGCACTGGCCAGTCAGTTCTGTGGAAAATGGCGCCATCATTTATTGAAAATATTGTGGAGGTTTTTGCGTGCACCATGAGAGAATCTGAGAGTTTTTACAGATCAACTAAAGCCTTCAGCTTTCGCTGACAAGCTTCTGCACAATATTACAGATGAAGACTCTCAGCAGAGGGAGATCACACTTCAAATTCCTGCAGATCTCAGTCCAGCACCATGGCTTGATTTTTCTATTGAAACTCATCAGAAAGCACCTTGTTCACTCACACATTTTATTACTGATCTGAATGGATGGATGGATGGATCTTATTCAATACTCAGCCTGATACTTTCTCACAGTGAGCTCTTGTTTTACAGGATGGAGGACAGAAGTGCATCCCCTCTGATGACTTCGAGTGCGAGGAGGTGAGCAGCTCTGATCAAAACTTTAAAAACGATGGTTGAAGTAATGGGTGGAGGGGTCTCCATCTCCCCCATCACTTGGACCAGCTGATGTGGTGTTCAGGTTGTTTATATGACGCTGACGTGCATCATCAGATCAGACGATGAGATGAAAAATGAACAGATGATTTTTATCAGAGACAGACAACTTAGAGCTCTTTCACTAAAATCATCTGAGCAAGTTCATTCTGGACAGACCTGAGAGCGCCCCTTATGGAACAGGAAGTCCAGACAATGGAAGTTCTTGATTATACTAAACCAGGGGTGTCAAACGCCAGTCCTCAAGGGCCAGTGTCCTGAAACTTTTAAATGTGTCCCTGCTGCAACCTTTTATAAAATTAGGTCATTAGCGAGACTCAATAGAACTTGACTGCATGCTGAGGTGGCAACCCCTATCCCTTCTCAAGTAATTTTAAATAAATGTAAGTAAATGTAAGTGTTTGGAAATTTTTACTTCTAAAAGTACTTTTATTGCACCTTGTGCTTTCACTCATGAGCTGCTGTAACATGAATCAAATTGCTGAATTGCCACCTCACCAGCCCTCAAGAATTGAAGTTTGACACCTGTTTGCTAGACGTCTTCTGATTGTGTGTCTGAGAGGGCCACTTTTACATCACAGAGAAAGCTTTTATTATTGGTCAACATAATGGAAAAAAGTAAACTTAAGTGGTGTTTTATTACAGCATGGGCTTTTTGGTCGAATGAGATTATGAGGAAATCATTCTGAGGTGAGATATGATCTTCAGGAAAGACTGTTAAAGGATGGGTGAAACTGCCTCTGGCTCTGAGCTCAGGAAACTCTTTCCCAATGAGCTTATGGTGTCAGTCGCTGCTTTCAGGCCTGATTTAAGCACCATGTCCATTTTGGAGTTTCAGGTCCTGTTACTCAGATAGGACCAGAAAAGGGTTTAGGGCGGGGCTACCTGTGACTGACCGTATGAGTGTAGTGTCTGTAGTCTTTTAGAAACGGTGTATGATGGGATGCTGTGTGTACTCAGCTCTCAGTTTCACAGCTGGCACATTAAAAAGCGAGCAGTGTTTTCGCCCACTCTCATTTCTAAGAGTTCGCTGCTAGACTTCCTGTGTAAGCCTCCCTGTGGCCGGTTCACTGAGTGTCCTCCATCTGTTTTCGGGTTAAAGATCCACAGCTGAACTGTAAAGTGTAGTGTGAGGAAACAAAGTGAGGCTCCCTCCAATAAGCTGCTCTGTATTAATACTTGATCACCACACTAATATCTACATCAGCAGCTGTTACCACCCCAGGTTGGAGAGGAAAGTCACGTGACAGATGGAGAACATGGGAGCACTTTGTTTGAATTTATTGATATATTATTGCCAAACCTGAAGCTGGAGATGAACTTCCAACATGAAATATGCACGAATAAGAAGCAGCAGAGAGTGTGGCGGCAAAGAAAAGGAGCGGCTGCGCCTCGGTGGAGATCTGTCTGTAAAACAGAGAGACACAAAATGAATTACCTGCTGAAACTCAAGCAAGAGAGTTAGACTCAGATATTTAGCAGCCCATAAAAGCTCAGCTCTGTGACTCACTTTACCTTCCTGCAGACACCTCTCCTGCTCAGCCTCCACACACCATCTGTGCTGAGGGCGGCGACCACAGTAGGATACTGCTCCTCCTGCAACAAAATAAAAATAAAGAATAAAAGTGAAGCGATGTTACAAATGTGCAATACCACAGATTTTACGCTTTATGTTTCCTCTTCAGCTTCATTTTCAGAGGTTCACGCTCCGAGTTGCTTGCTCTAGTTAAGTGACGCCGCCATCTACAGCTGACAGTTACAAAAGAAATAAATCAATTATTGATAGCAATATTCAATTTTGGATATCTGAGAGTTTGACATGCAGTCAGTGGTGAGAGACTTTAACACAGCCGTACGTAGATTTATTATTATATTATTATAGCAGGACAAGATTAAACGGTACACATCTGAAAAAGTAGGAAATTATATGTTGATGAAGAATTAATATTTAATTGCAGAAAACTTTATCTGAAGCCAGATATGAGGTATGAGGCGTTCTAACACCGCCCACAACTGAACCCGCTCGATAGAAAAGCTTTGTTTCAGAAATCTGCAGTCACCAGTGACACACGAATTTTGGATTTATAATATTAGCAGAGGTGTGGACTCGAGTCACATGACTTGGACTCGAGTCATTAATTTTATGACTTTAGACTTGACTTGAAAAAATGTTCTAAGACTTGTGACTTGACTTGGACTTTTACACCAATGACCTGGGACTTGAATTGGACTTGAACCGGTTTACTTGAAAAGACTTGATATTTCACCCCAAATATAAAATTTAACATGCATATTATATAGAGATTGAAAATGTGACGTCATTCAGGGGTAAAACCGCAAAGGATTCTGGGAACTCGTGGCAAGAGGTACTAGCGCACGCAGGCTTTCAATTGAAATCAGTCACACAGCGATAAAAAGAAACACAAAAATGTCAAGAAGCTGTTGTATTATTAACTGCAATAGCCGGTCGCATGACAGCCACGGGAAGCCGACGGGTAAAGAGATCGGTTGTTATCGGATTACGTCGTTGAAGAGAAATTGTTCAGCCATGTTTCCGAAGTAACAAAGACGCGACGGATGGCCTGGATTGCAGCCATTCAAAGACCAAATATAACGTCCCAGAACACTCCAGCTCACAGGTTAGTCTGCTCCAAGCATTTACACGAAGGTCAGTGTTTTTTAGTAGTTAATCGTCATTTTCATAACATAATTGGTGATATAGGTTACAAGCAAGTCTGGCGCTGAACAGAAATTGTCGCGCTATGCTCCTTTATTTATTGTGCATAAATAGTGAATTGTCCTGACACAATATTGCGTTTCGCTTCTGTTATTATGGTACATTGACAAAAACATATACTTTTATTCACAGGATAAAACAGGTTTTTTGTATCACTAATTGCCCAGTACGATTACAGCATACAGTATTATTGTCACTGCTACATTTCTGTAACGCGTACCAGAAATTATTTCCACTACTAATTAATTACCATTGAGCTCAAAGGTTATATTAATAAACGGTTAAGAATGTGTATTTATGAAGACAATTTGTGAGACTGGTAAACTTATGATACGTACGATGGTCTTTCGTTCTACACGGTGCATTTCAAGGTCCTGTACCCATCCGTCGGTAAACTGTACCTGGGCTTGTTGCAGTGACCTGAAGTTACTAAACTTCATGAGTGTATGCACTCACTCCAAGAACCGTATAATTATAAATATGCATATAAATATGCTACGATGAGATAGCTGACTTCATCTAACTAGCAAATGTTGTCCAGGCTACATTGGTGATGCAGTTTTTTTAATGTGTATGATATTTTTGTCATGCGATTTTAAAGCCGGTCCTACAACCGCATCCAAGAATAACATGCAGCTTATCTCAGAACTGTCGGTGAAAACTATTCTTGGAGCTAGGTTTAATTGAGCTGCATTTTAAACAGGTGCAATTTCACAATTTGTGTATATTTTCTAAGTTCACTATTTTGTCATGTGTTGAGAAAAACACAGATTTAAAAATTACATGGTCTAATATTTACATTTAGCATAACTGCAACATTCTTTTTTCATTTTTTTTTTATGGACTCGAAAGGACTTGAAATTCAAAGTTTCAGACTTGTGACTTGACTCGGACTTTTACACCAGTGACTTGAGACTCGACTCTGACTTGCCTGACATTACTTGAGACTTACTTGAGACTTGCAAAACAATGACTTGGTCCCACCTCTGAATATTAGTACTGAAGAATGAAATGTGGCTGTCTGTAATTAGAACGGGAGCTGGTCAGAGGGACTTTATACAAACTTTCATGGATAGATTTACAGGTATATTGATTTCCAGCTAACAAGCAGCTTCATCATTTGTAAGATTTTCAGGACACCACAGAATGAGCCATTACAAACACTTGTGCACTAATGCTCGTGCCTTTGTCCCCCCTCTGTGCTCAGGCTCTGTTGGCCCAGGGCTCGATAGACTCTCAGGACTCTGCAGGGCCCAGAAGCAGCAGCCGGCCATCAGCCCCACTCCTCCACCTCCTCCCTGTGACTGTGTGTGTGTCCATCCTGCCAGCGTTCCTGTTCCACGTCTCATAAATGTGAACTAGCATACACACATACATGCCCACACACACATTTACACACACACACACACACACATTTACACACAGACACACACACACACACACACACACTAAATGTCAGCCAGCAGACGTCCAGCATCAACAACTGCCTTTCAGAGGAGGAGGGAAGTTATTCTGGAGGACGTTCGGATTAGCCAGCTCTCTGCACCACACACACAGTGCACACACACCGTGAGAGGGTGTGTTGTGTGTTTGAGCGAGGGTGAGAATGAGAGAGGCAGACACAGAGAGACTCCTGGGATTTTCGATCACATTGACTTCGTTTCCAAAGCTCAGTGTCTGCAGAGTTTGTGTGCAGCCCGGCTCAGACTCACTGCCTCCAGCTTTCTGGGATCCGAGACAGCTGGGCTCAGAAACACAGGGACTTTGGCTCAAGCTTGGAACTGCACACACACGCACACAAACACACACACAAACACGGAGAACAAGTCTTAAAGTTGGCAGCGCGATGGTGAGAGAGACGACAGAGCTGGACAGATGGGACGGATCATTCCTCTGTGTTTGTCAGCTCAATTTATCACTTCCCTGGACCTCTCTGGTGGCAAGAAAGCTATACTGCATACATTCAAACGCACACGCTGTAACCCTCCCCTTAGACCTCGTTAGCGGGCAAACAGGGTCCCCACAAGGACACAAACACTCATGCTGTACACCAGTGTGCTTTTCGCAGGTCTTTCTCTTCATTTTGTTGTCAACATTCTGTAAAAACTTCATTTAATGTGGAATATGAAAAAAGAGTGTATATTTCACAAATGTAAGTGTAAAATTGTGCGAGTGTGTGTGTGTGTGTGTGTGTTTGTGCATGAGTGTCGGTGGCTGAATGTGGATGTACAGACATGTGGAAGCAAACAAAGGAAGAAGGACTCAGCTGCAGGACACACAGCGATGTGTGTGTACTCTCAACCAAACAAAATTTGGGAGTTTTAGGTTTTTTCCTCCTCTTGTCTTGATTGGTTGTAGGTGTATTGCTAACAAAGCTACAGCTGTTATCATGGTATTAGACCACCAAGCCCCTGTCAGTTTAACACAGTCACAGTTTAAATGGGTGCTGCTGGTGCTGCAGTTACAGCAGGGCAGACAGTGGTGGTGGACACAGACCCACCAAAGTTGTAGAGATCAGCGCGCTGAGACGGGGAACAATGCTGTGACCGCTCACAATCAGATCCAACTTTGGAGCAACTTTGGAGCACCAACACAGCAATACAGCCTGCAATTAAATGCAAGCTGTTCCTAATAATACGGCAAAAAAACATGTTGGTGTCTTCAGTCACACAGTCCAGCCTGAACCTCGGTGGCCTGAAACAGAAATTCCTCAATAAAGAGTGACGTCGTTTCTGCACAACAGTGATAAATCTGCAGAACTGATTTTTCTATAAGGATAGAACCAGAGACCTGCCCATCGAGTCATGTCTGCTACGCAAAGACGAGCCACTCTGTTCAGCACAGACGGACTCAGGTTAGAAATGACAGTGAGAGTGACTGCAGTCTGGGGCGAAGCACAGTTGTTGGGTTGTGTCCCACCAGACTTCTTGTCAGTGCTTGCCGCTTCACTGCATTTTTTCGAACCCAAACCAACGGGTTTTTGGATCCCGTTGGTTTGGGTTAGGGGAACAAATAAAAGTCTGTCCTTTGTGATGAAAGTCGGACCTACATTCACTTGCTCATTAGAAGATTTGGAGATTTGAGTTGTACTTCTTCACACACGCAGCGGGCGGTTAAAATAGGTGATTAAGAGCAGAATGGGCAGGGAAAATGTTTACTCCCTGCTTACTCCCAGAGTCTCTGTTTTATAGCTACTGAGCTTCCTCACACAGTTTCTGGATGATCACCAGCTATGCTCGCACTATCAGAAAAAGTGACTCCCACCACCCGTTACAGCTGCAGAGTTTCAGGCAGCTGGGTGGCAGCTGACACCTGACATATTCACAGCAGCTTTATGTCTGCGGAGTTTCTGGTTTCAAATGTACCGTCTCCAAGATGCACCAAAGACTCAACTATATTCATACCTGTATGAAACCATCCTCTGTCCTGGCAGCTCTTGGGGCTGTTGACAAAGACTCTTCAGTTCAGAGCATAAAAGTTGTTTGTGTTCTTACGCTGCTTCTTATCATCAGCGGTTCAAATACGATCATATGAAGTGGTACCTGCTTCAGAGCCACCGTGTTTCTAAGTAGACCACATTTCTTTTGGATCTATGTTTAGCTTCCAGACATCGAGTGCACTTCTTTGGCACCATGTTAGCAGGCGATGCTATCGGGCTGTCGTCACTTCCTCTGGTAGCGGCTTCAGTCACTTAGAATGGAGAAAAGCTGAACTTATCACTAGCTCACCTCGAGGAGCCTAAAAACACAAAAAACATGTAAAACTGCTTCAACTATCCAAGAGCAGTCGCCTCAGGGGTGTTTATACTGTAAGACCCTGCAATTAGACAGAAGCTCTCGGCAACAGTGGGGAAGAAAAACTCCCTTCTGAGAAAATGAAAGTTCCAAGAGAACTAGGTGACTGAAAACATCAATAATTCAAGGAAAGGATTTGTCACTAGTGTTAGCGTGTTAAAGGGCAGGGTCACTGTTTCCAGCAGACTGGCTCAGGTTCTTCTGCAGTCAGCCCAAAAAAACACATGTACAGCCTGATACACAAACTGTTTGGTCTCTATAGATAATTTCCCCTTCATAATCACTCTTTATGATTCACCTGTTTAAATTGTATTAAAGTTTACATTATTAGGGGCGTGGCTTCTGACTGACAGGTGGATGGCATACAGCTGTTTGTAACATTTGGATCACTTCCTCCTGCGTTTGCTTCCCTTAATGTGTTTAATATGTGAGTGTGTGTGGGGTTCTCAGTGTGTACAGTACCTCTGGCCACTCTGTGGGGTATTTTTTATGTTTCATAGAAGCTACCAGGATGCAGAACATGAACTGTTGTGCTGCAAGGTTGTCACCAGTTGAAGCTCGAGGTAGTCGTCACTTTGTGCCATCCGTGGGCTGGAAGACCTGAGATCAGTTCCAGAGGCGCTGGTGCGTCCTTACTTTAGTGTGATTATTACTGTCATCCCTGCTAGCGGTCAGGAAAACGTATTACCGTGTCTGTGAAGGGTCATTACACAATTGTCCAAATCAGTGAGATTGCTATTAAATTTGTTGTAAACATTGTGATATTTCCCCTTGGGCTTTCAGCAGTATCATTATTAGGACAGATTTGTTTTTGTGTCTGAAATTGGACGATGAAGTCATATATTTCTAATCACCTCGGCCTTCCTCTTGTCCCGTAATCATGTTGCTTTTTTCATCTACTTTTATTCCAGGAGCATTTTTCCCTGGAGTTTCTCATCGGCATCATCCAGACACCTTTTTTCGCTTAAAATGTGAATTAAAATGTGATTTTCATTAAACTCAGTGTTAACGTAACGCTGGCTGTTCATGATGCCCTGCACATCGGGATCCTGAGTGTTTCATTAGCAGTGTGATAATCCATGGTCCCCAGAGGGGCAGTTCATCCCTCCACTGCCTTAGTGCTGCTGAAGCTTCAGGTTTTATTTCAGAATTAAAGTGCTAGTGTTGAGATAGTGCAGAACTTTATAAATAACAAAATATTAAAATCGATTTCCATAACTTTACTGTAACTTTTCATGATCCCCAGAAGATGATCTCTGGCAGGCTTGATGGTCCCCTGTTTTCCAAGCACCATCAACATGAAAACATTCGATTTCAGCAGCACACAAATCACAAAATTATCTGTTTAATGGTAGAAGAATTCAAATTTTGGGAGAAAAATATTTGAAATGAATGGCAGAAATGTCACAATGCAATATTTACAGTAACTTCTGTTAATGTTGGCAGACAAGTTTATCTTTCACATTTGTACTTAATTTCCTTCCTGTATAAATGTGGTTATCTCCAAGGAATAGGATGGTATCGTCAGCAAAAACTAAAATTAAAACAAATCACTGACGCAAGTGTAAAATTTAAGTTTTTTAAATTTAAGTCCAACGATCGATCCCTGTGGAACACCATGATATCTGATTCATAACAATTCATTCATTACTAATTGTATTTGAAAACAAAGAACTGTTTGTTCAGGATGGATGTCTGATTTTACATTGGTGTTGAAGATGACTGAACAGGGCTTTGTGCTGGTACGACCGTGTGTTGGGAAAGAGTAAAATGAGGACAAAGGTGACGGTGAGGAAGGTTGTAAATTTGCTGATCTATTTGTAAACTTAACAGCGCTCAGCAGTGTAATGAAATATGTGTCTGGAAATAAAAGTAACATCTGTAACAACAGCTGTCCACAAACATTTCTTCTTCAAGTTCTTCGTCCTCCTGAAGCCTCTCTGAATGATGACCTCTGCCTGAGTACCTGACACAGTCTACACTTGTCTTTGTGGGTGCTGAGTTAAGGCCACAAACACGTCACACAGGTGTTCAGTAAAGTGCTGCCCCTAGCCTGATGAAATCCCTCTGTGTGGTCTTACAGTTTGGTGAAGGTTTCCTCTGCATCAAACTAACCTACATGTGTGCAGCCGAGAGGGAACTATGGTGGCTGGAGGCTGAAATCAGAGTGAAGCCATGCTGTTGGCTCCAAACACATCTCTTCAGGCTTCTGTTGACTCATTCAAAAACCACTCTCTCTTCAGAAACAGTCAACATGGCTTTAATCTACACATTTAGGCTTTCTGTCCCATATGAAAAAGAAATAGAAAAAACTTATAAAAGTCTTGCATCAGATGTGGCCTTCATATTGTAAATCATATTAGGCTTATATGATTTACTCATAAAAGTGGCCACTTTCATATATTGTTTTAGTAAGTATCCAAAACATACAAGTTTCATTTATATAATTTTTCAAGGCATCATATATGTGTTTCCACTCTTGTATGCTTTTTATACAAGTTTCACACAAGACAGATACAAACTTTATAGGATTTATATATATCTTTTCCATATGGGGTGGCTCATTTTGTAAATTGTTGCTCTGTTAACAACATTCGAAAGCTTTGGAAACTCTTCAGGTCTCTGACTCGAGCACAGCTCTGCAGATCTGATGTGTCTGTGGCTGTGAAGCTGCACTAAAGCCTCACAGTTTGTACCTGTAATGTTAGTGTCGAACGTTAGCACTAACATCTACTGCATGATCCTGATTACGAGCTATAGATGGACATCAAGCTTGATTTTATTTTAGTTTTTTTAATTTCCTGTACTTTTTAGTCCCGGTGTGTGATCCTGAACCTGCAGCTCCTTATTTCATCCTCTGCCTGAAATGAGCTGTTTTAGTTCTTCCCCCTTTAACCAACCTTATTCTGATTGGCTGTCCCTCATAAACGCAAGGCTTGAAAGTTTCAGTGCTCACACGGGGATGCTGTGTCCCTGACATAGTCATATAAGGATAGCTGCCCTCACTAACATCATAAAAATGTGCAAGCAGAAGAAACTGTGATAGCCGGAGTGTTTGGAGCTTCAGGCTCACAGTGTTTACTGACCACGCTCTTTATTAGACACTGTCAGTTTAACTTGAGCATTAGCAGGAGGTAAATGAAGTGTTTCTGTGCTGATGCGTCTGAAGGTCACAGTCTGAGGAGGTGATGCAGACTTTATGTAACGTGTTTCGCTCGTTTGGAGCTGCAGCTCATCAGAAACCCTTTCCCAGTTTAGCTGAACCTCTCTGCGTTGTTCAGCTCTCAGGAATAGAGTGAGAGGCACCCTTCCCCCGATGTACTCACAAGAGGCTTTTTAAATGTGAACTTTGACCTGACTCTTGCTGTTCCGTATTTTTAGCTGAGCGTGAGGAATCCGCTGATTGAAACACCGTGAGACAGATTAGTGAGCAGGCGGGAGAATAAAAAGAAACGATGTGCACGTGAGAGTTTGTGTCTTTGCTTCTCTGCTCTTATCTCTGCCTTACTCTCAGCTCTGTCACATCTCCTCCTCTCTCCCGGCTAATCCTGATTCTCTCACTTTGATTCAGACGACACTGATAGCAGGTTGTGTGAAATCATCATCCTTCCATCCATCTCCATTCCCTCCATTTCCACACCGAATCCACCTGTCATGTCTGCTTCAGCCTCCTTTGTGTCTTCATTCCTGAGATCCATCTGCCGGCCCTTTCCTCATCACTTTGTCTTTCCCTCTCATTATCCTCTCATCGCTGGCTATGCTTTACTGCCTCCTTCAGCCATACCTAACCAGAAAAATATCTGGCTCTGTTAGATGAAGCAGACACTCAGAGTTTGTGTTTCCACTGCAGAGTGTTCAGGTCTGTCTCAGGTGGATCTAGTTAGGAACAAAGTCAAACTAAGCATGGAGCTGTGAAACACTCTGTGGACTAGCCGGGATCGAAACCGGTGACAGTGGGCATCAAGTCATACGTGACAACCAGAACATGCTCTGTGTGTATGTGTGTGTCTGTGTGTGTGTGTGTTGCTGGTTTTGGCTGATTAGAGCAATTACACACAACAAGGTGAGACGAAGTTACTCAGAGATCCTCGAGGTTTACGTCAGGCTGTGTTTTTAATTAAAAGCCTCAAACCCTCACGCTAGGACAGCAGGATCTCTTCAGTCTTTTACACTAAATGACTGAAATATTTCATCCTGAATCCAAAGAGCTGCAGATCAATCATCTGTAGCTGCTGCGCAGCGTCCTCGCTGCTCCACCCTGCTGCGGCAGGTTGGTGGCGGGTGAGGTAGGAGTTTAACCGTGTGGACATTCACTCTAACGATTAATGTCAGCTGAGCTCCAAGCTCCTGATGGAGCAGCCATCATCAGCCACCAGACAAGGTCAGGTAAGCTCAGGGAGAAGAAGTCCAGGTTGAAGGAGAGCCAACACACCCACAAACAGCCCACCTCCACCCAGAATAAACACATTTAAATCAGTGTGAAAACAGTGAAGAGCTTCCTGAGACACACAGTGTGCCTCTCAGCCCGACAACCCGCCTTCAGCCTTCACACATCCAATCATGTGTGTGTGTTTGTTTGTGGACTTCTCTCAGGATCTGTGATCTATGAAGCTGATGCGAAGGTTTTATGTGCTCCTGTTTCTATGGTAACTGTGTGGACACCACCATCTATGAAACAGACAAATAAGATGGTGTGTTCCTCCTCCAGGAGCTGGGGTCCTTCAGTAGCTTTCCATGGATGACTACCTGGATGGCATTCTGACGCAGGAACAGATCTTTCTGGAGATACTATAAATCTCATTTAGTATAAAAGGATCTTCCAGGAAGAACCAGGATAAAAGATTTGTGTATGGCTTTGTAGTGCTGCGATAAGTGAAGAGACTGGAAGGACAGCTTCCCTCTTCCCCTCATTAACTGAGACAAAGCTGAGTCCAAGTCTGAAAGGCTCAAAGCAAAACTAAACAATCTGAGGCAGAAGAACAGGAAAGGAAGCAGAACAATATCCTGAGAAAAATATATAATCACATTAATAATAAAATAATTTTCACAAGGTAAAAAGCTGAGTGTGAAACTTTAATATCATGCTAATATTTAGGAGGTGCCACTGAGGACAGGAAGTCATGTTCTCAGGTTTACATCCCACATTTACTGGGAAATTATGCGTGATTCTGAAGGCTGATTACAATTTTAATTAGACTCGTGCTCATAAACGAGCAAAGGTCCTTATGATACTATTGTGCACTTTCAAGACAGAAGAAAAGTGGTGCCCAGTCAGCCTGGGAAAACCTCTAATTATATCAGAAATAATCAAATATTTGTCCACATTGTTACACGCTGAACGTGAAACTTTGATATGCCGTCGGGGGCTGCAGCTTCCACCACGGACAGGAAGCCATGTTCTCAGGTTTACATTTGCATACAAATTATGCATGAGGGCTGATTACAATGTTCATTAGACCTGCTTTCATTAATAAGTTGAGGTGCTGGTGGGGTGCCTGTGGTGGATCTTACCGCGCTTTTGTATAGCAGTGAACTCAACAGACTGGGCCTGAACGAGGAGGGATCCAGGTTCAAATCAGAAGCAGAGCCGAGAGCCGTGTTCACATAAAAATGAGGTCAGATCCATGTGACCCAGCTCTGTTCATAATCAGACACTGTGATTGGCCCACCACTGGCTGCCTCACAGTTTTATTTTTATATCACAACAACAGTCCCCTCCAATGCTTTATATTGTAATGAAACATGCCACAGTAATGCAACCCCCCCCCCCCCTCACAGCATTACCTCGGACCTGTAATGCACTACACCTCCTGTTAAAGGTGGACTCCCTGAAAGAACCAGGTAAACATATGGGAACTGTGGCTGAGTGTGCAGTGCCCACCAGGTTTCACATCACATCTGGAACATTTACAGCAACGTGGTACTTTCTGGGGCTCAGCCAGGCTGTATTATGGAGCGTCTGAACTTTGCCTAATTTCAAGACATTTTATGTTCATAATCGAGTCAGTTTTTTTATACAGTTTCATTTGTGACTCCATC